AGAGAATTATGGCTATATCTTCGAAGTAAATGCAAAACTCGGGATATTTCGGCAACGCTTGCAATCAGCGCTTCGAATCACAACCTGTCAAATCGATTTCATGTGTAAATCTCTGCTTCTGTACTCTGACGAGATGGGTGCAAATTTTTCATCATGCTGACGGATGAAGACTGCGTGTTGGCGATTTTTGCTTGAACCAAAAAAACCGTTGCATCAAGTTCCCAGTGAACATTCACGTCTTGCATGCCACAGTGAATCACACCGGGCGTGCGTGTGTGCATTTGTTACTAATAAAACCAGCTAGGCGATCTTGTGGTGAGCCATCTCATGTTAGACGCGGTGGGTTACGCAACAAACCGTATCGTGGACTTGGTGATATACTTGAAGTTTGTAGGTGGTGCTGACGAAGTGAATGCCAGGTAGTACAGGAATCGCCACTTATTAAATTTGAGAACGCGTTGTGACATTTAGTGTCCACCAGCTAGTATCTTGATATTCTTACTCGTGTGGTCTTGATCCACACCGTGGCCGCCTTGTTGCATTGGCCTGATTCCAGGGAGGGAACAGATAGTCCGAAGACGGAAAAGAAAGAAGTGCTTGGCAGATTGATTCACCTAGTTGTGTAGCTGTGGATGAGTAGTGTATCTGTAACCCCGCTTTGTTTGGGGATGTAACTAAAGTTTGATTGACTGAATGGCAAAACGGGAAAAGTGTCAATATGGGGGGAAGGGGGAGAGACGTATTTGCACCAAGAGAAGTGTCGTGAGCAGACTATGAGGCATGGCTTACAGGCGGTGTGTTTAAAAGAGGGTGGCTTGATGGACTATGCGGCGCACGTCGTGAGTGCACACAATTCGCCACACAGCACATTTTGCTTTATCTTATCTTCCTACAACCTGACGCCTTCCCTTCCGCGACAACATTGTTTGAGTGAAAACATGGAAAGTTGCAAAGAACTTCATGATTCCTGATGCAGGAAAGCTTGTGCTTGTACCTTGGTAACCCGGTCGGTCGTAATTCCATGCAGACTCTGCCGACACCATCAGTCGTGTCTCTGTTCACAATTAACCGTGACTGATTCCAGAACCACACATCTCATCATTTACACCGTTCAAAATCACTAGTTTAAGCAATTCCTACTGAGCGACGACTACATTAGACCTTATCCATTTCGTCAACGTTTGCGGATAACGGGATATACACTACGCAAAAGGTCACGAGTACTCGACTAAAACATCACACGTGTCCAGTGATCTGGCAAACCGGATTCGTGATTTCATTAAGTTGACCGCACTTTTGCAAATCTCGTGGCTCATTTCAAGATTACTCCTTGCTTAGATGTCACCTTACTTGCCCCGATAAAGGCCATGTCAGAATCACTTGCTTGCCTTAAACAAAAACACAAAAATATTTATCAGAACTAGTGAGTTGGACAGACAGGCAACTGTCATCTACAACTGCAATTTGAGCCGAGTCCTACTAGATTATTCCAAGCCTTTAAGCAGTCTTCTACCGTGACAGGTAGACGAACATCTGGGTTTGGGACAGGACTTTAAAATCAAATCTTGAACAATTTGGAAACCCCAGTAATTGTGCTTCAATAATGAGTCACCGAATTTAAGTTTATGTAAGTGAATAAATAAGGCAACAACTGATTGGTTAATACTGTACCAGTAGAGTAATATACAGAAGATCGTCTTGTTGAAACAAGTATTCACACACATGTTATTCTCTATGTTCGACGAAACAAGCCGGGATCAATATTGCAAGACAACGTAAGACAATGTCTTCGGGTTTATTTCAGCGATGTTAACAGTATTATTGGCGTAGGAAACGGTCAATGACTGTGGGGTTGGACGTCATGGCGACAAAATCACTAGCGAAGATGTCAAGCTTCGCTTGGAGGCCGACGGAGCACAGTACATAGAAGACCAGCTCCCTACTTTCGTAGACGTTCTGTTAAGGCTGGTTGAACGCTTCCAGGACATATGGGAGCAGACGATGGAGTTTCCAACTTGACTGGACACTGTGCCTTCTGCTTAAAGACTAGAATTGAAAATGACGGCACGGCCATAATTAAAGGCTTAAAACAATTGGTTAGCAAACGCTGACAGTTGCTACATGAAGTGGTTTCAATTTATTATATTGGCAAAGCTTGCAGGACGTCGTCGCTCTTGTGGGCACGGTAGTTCGACCAATTCGATCTACTTAGAAGAAGCAAGTAAGAAAAGTATATTTTGGTATTCAGTCACGCATGTCACAACTAGTATGCGCCAAATGAACTGCTCACCCTTTCACGGAGCTCAAGAAATCGCCGATATTTTGAAGAGGAAGATTAATATAAACATTTATCACGTAAGGAAATCTCCTTAATAGCTGTCTTTTCTGTGTGACAATGTTATGAGCCTAATAGACTTCATGCAAATCAAGAAAAGATTCTATGACCTCTTTGTCATCAGTATACCAAAGGCTTTGGATAGCCATTCGTGGAAGGCGGGACAGGTCGAATCTGGTAGGTAGAAAGTATCCTGCATGTTGAATGTGTAACGGTGGCATGACACGATCACTTCCAAAGAAAGCTTAATGCAAACCGAGGCGGTTGCAGAAGAGACGTCGCAGTAAAGCAAATCTGTTAACTATTAAGCTTGCTCAAACTAACCACCACATATTCACCTACCTGATCGGAGAGCAAAACGAATCGCGTGTATTACATTAGCCTTCTGCACGTTCAGCGGATTTGAACGCTCACACCAAAATGTCCTTAACAGTAACATTAAAAAATGTCAATTGAGCAGTGTGAACCCTCGTTATCAACAATTTAATTAAAATTGAACGTCCCAAAAGAGCCTGCAACAAAGGCAACACATCGTGTTGAGTGAAACCACGTGTATTACAACTACGTGATGACGATTAGATTTGACAAATGCAAGTTTTGGGAATTAACAATAGCTGAGTTCACGTGGCCGCTAAATATTTTGATCAGTTCATGGCTCGACTCATGAGAATGCAGGTCGGCCAAGCGACGTTAACCAACGAAATCTGGTGAAGTAGCCTGGTTAGCTTTAGTCCACACAACCGCACATTCCACTTAATGGCATGGTCCGAGAAAAAAAGTGCCGTCCAGCGACGGTGACGACGAATGCCAGTGAAGGAAGGTGAAATTGCCCTCAGCACCACCCGCAGCCATGTTTAATTAGGCCAGTCGATTATAGTGTACTGCTCCCTAAACATTCCAAACTGACTTGGGTTAGATGTTTAGTGTGGTGCACCACAACAACCTCTGTCTTTCCATCGAAACCTTCGCGTCAGGTCAGTTGTTTGTGATTTTCAAGAACCATCCACGGAGTCGCTGACTTGGTGTGGGTGGCAGCAATTGTGGGAGCGTGTCTAAGGAACGAGGCACTCCTAACTCAACAATCAGCATACCCTAAAGCCCCTTTAAAACAAATGAAGCTTATGACTAATTTATATAAAACTTACAGGGGTAGTGTTAAGTTTTACGCATCGTCGTCACTCCATTTTGTCATTTCCAAGTCCAACGCTGAATCACTCGTGAAAAGTTCAAACAGGCTCATGAGAATATCCACGAATGCAGAGACCTGACTGTCTATGAAGTCTGCTGTGTAGGTCTCCACAAGTAGTTTAAGCTCTTCACAGAATGCGACGCAATGTGCCTGCATGAAATGTGACAGAAAGTCGCGGTATTCTGAGGAAACAGCTGATCAACCAAGTGTCAGGTCGCTTGCTGCATTGAAAAAGGTCCAGCTGAAGAGGGAAGAGATGCAGCTTAATTACTTTATTGATGCAATACTAAGTGTGGCCGACAGGTTAACAAATCAGTTTATACAGCCTTGCTGTACATCGATCTCCGAAAGAACACAGTTACGTGAAGCACGTACCCGTTACTCAATTCAATTTTTTCGCTGACGACTGATGTTTTCACTTGCCGCTCGCCGCAGGCTCTAACTAACGTGGTACCCTTTCGGCTGTTAACGCAGACATTATCAGCACACGAAAGTACATAAAATTGAGTAAAATCCACATTTTAAGGTTGGAGACATGTACCGTGCGTATCAACGACAGTGAAATATTGGACTCCCTGAACGTGTGTAGTGCGATTTTTTTAAAATATTTATGGTGAAAGATCTCCTTTAGTATGCATCACTTCCGATTTGCAGTCACAGTTGCAAGTACGGCTACATGGCTGCGAGTTATCCTCTTTTATATCTCGACGATAACTAATAAACACAGTGGAAATTCGAGACGTGCTGGTGAGTAGCGCTACTCTGCTCACTGCTGATACAAACCCACACGCAAAACTGTAACGAATATTTACAACCGTGGAAGTAAATCAAAGACATACACAGCAGCCTTATCGAGTCCTCATGTGATACGCAGAATCTGACGAGGTACTCATGGTTGCAGAAGCTCATCTAGCATTCTACATGGAACATTTGATTTGCGACTCGCTGAGCGAAATGCTTCATTCACGTCCTCGCTAAACGGCCTCGCTGTTAGACGATACACAAATACATTTGGTGCCCATTGATTCATTCACATTATGATTGAAGTGTGACGGATATCTTACTAATGAGGCGAGTATTTACATAACAATTTATTCTCAATATTTCTCAATATTTGTTCGTGATAAGACTGAAATGCATCTCTGATCAGCTAAATAAATTTAATATCAGTTGACTTGCAACTAGATGCCTTTTTCTCGGCTGTTAAACATGTCTAGGCAACTCCCAAATTTAGAATTCACAATTTGGATTTTTAGACTGAAGAAAACCAAGACATGTTATGTGAAAACGAAATGAGTTGTCAAACTAACCAAGGTGATTGGATCTTTGAGTGGCACCGATATGCCACCACCACCTAAAGAGCACATTTTTTTTCACACTAGAACCGGAACGTGAAGAAATTAACAAGTGCCTACATTATCATAGATTTAACTTAGATTGTGCATTGCTAAACAGTATGCAGAAGCAAACGGAAACGTGTGGAGTTGCATTAAAAAAAATTGTAGGCTTAACTAGGTGGTAATCTCAAGACGCGTCAAAAACTGATGAATTCTCGTGACCGCCATAATTACTTTATTATTACGTGGCATGTCTAGTGGGGTGGCAGGTCGATCAGGCAGCGTTTACCAACCACGTTTAGTGAAGTGAAGTTGAGGTCGTTTCAACACACAGATAATGCGAAACCACCGCACAGTTTACACATCGTGTTATCCCAAGAAACTAATTGTTGACGAACGTCTGAAATAGCAAATGTCATTTGAGAAAATAGGAATTACTAATCCTAAATATAAGCATCAAAGCCTGTCTAGTGGAGGTTTGTACGATTGTCTCAAACTACTGCCGTAAGAACCACTCAACGTATGACGATTATGTACAACCATGCAGAGAAGAACATGCTTGTAATGGAACAATAATGTACACTCAGCCGTTAGTCCATTTCCTACACGACTAACTAGATAATGACAAGGCGTGAACAAAAAAAATCGATGTAAAAATTCAAACAACATAAAGCCTCAATGCTACATTTAAATCATTTCCATTGGCAGCAGAAAACGTGTCAACCTATGGCTGATTTCCACGTTTATCAAGAATTTAACATGCAATTGACTGATGTAACCATCATATGTGCACTTTAAATACAAATATTTTCCTAACGAATGTAGCATTTCCAAGTCAGTACAATTAAGAAGAGCCGCCAGTCTACCCATCCACTTAGCACGTGTGCCAGTCTCTACGAGGAATTGCCGAACGATATCTGCAATAACCACGGTCGGTGGGGGAACAGAGAATTTCTATCACCTTCGCAAACAGGAGCATCAAAGCCTGTCTAATGCCAGTTGCCCGACCTATGACCCCCTGTCGTCACAATCAAGATACAACCATCAAGCTTGTCGTCTAGACAACAATTCACAAGACCGTATTTAGACGGCCACAAATATTGTACAACCACATTCCTTACAATTAAGCGTTGTGACATAAAATCTCGGTTTAATTCGACATGTTAATCCACTCCAACATCATCGATTATGTCGGTGTAGACAAGTGCACCCAGGTGCGACGGTCCGCTCACCAGACGTCTGATTTCGACGCAGTCACAGCAAGTGATCATTGGTGCGTCCACACATGCACTTCGAAATGCCAAATAGGAGTTGGACATTTCTCATATAAATAAGTGATTTGCCAAGGCCACACATTGCAGGGCTTCTCTCACCTGCGGAATGCAACCCCACGCAACTCATCTGCGTGCTTAATTTCCGCATCACCTATGTGCCACCAGTATAGATAAAACGTGTTCATTGCATTTTTCTGGATCATCTTACTGCCTTCAGCATGTCATTTTATCGACCAACCGTTACTACAGACCGACTTTGCAGAAAGAATTGGTTGTGTATTTTATAAAACAAGGCTCTTCCAGGACATCCTCGCACTTCCTTATTCACACTTTCTGTGCATTGTGCCAACCACACCATTATGACAAGGGCAACATCCTTTTAAATGACATTAATCATAATCTGCAGTAAAATGTTAAATAAACTCACCTTACTGATCCTTGTTCTCTTATAGGCACCGCCCTTCGTCTCTATACCACCTCAAACCTCAACGATGAATCACACTTGAAACGTTCATGCAGACTCATCAGAAGACTCATAAGTGCTGGACGCGGCCTGTCCACGTAATCCGCTAAGTAGGTATCCAAAGAAGCAGCAACTCATTGCTGAATCTGTCAGCAATGAGAAGGTCGGGGCAATCAACTGTGACTTCGCATCAAGCAAGTCGTTGTGGCTATTTTCAGCGGAATGACGCCCGTTGCCGTTAGCCTTCTGACCATCTGGTATCGAAACGTCAGGTGTAGGGCAATTTAAACGTTAAAAATATGTAAGCTAAATGGAAGAAAAAAATGTATGGTCAGCTTACATGAAATATGACACAAAATGAAGATTTAACCAAGACTTACAGCTGATCAAACACGTGTGAGACGGCTCTTTAGAACACAAACACTCACTCTAACAACGCTCCACTCACTTAGCACCAAGCTTATGCAGCAGTAGCACCAAGAAAATATAATCACAAGTCCAAAGTGATTGGCAATTACAGTGATTAGATTTCACTGCCTGCATTAGCAAATCCAATTCATTAACATGATAGTTATCTTTGGTAAACACTTGGACACTTTTCTGGAAGGAGCACCGAGATTGCAAATAATAAATCCACGTGACAATATAAGCACGAATTTACCTTCACAGCACCACCCACACAATATAAACGCTAACAGAAACTGTCGCAAATGGCTAGGAGTGAATACTGGTTCTCTCCTGTTGCCTGCATGAACACTACGCAATTTGGAATGTGTAAGAAGGACTTGCATACTGCAGTTATGTGGCACACGAACTAGTGGACTACTCACACGACACCAAGCACAGACAAAATTGGCAATTTCGCGACTCACCCTGCAGGTTTACCGCACAGCGCCGTCTGCACATTATCCGCATGTGTAGCGACGTAAATGTGCGCTATCTTATTGTAGCACGGTTGCTTCAGCTAATTCCTCTGCATCCGAATGGCCTGCGAGAAAGATATGCAACCAGCTAGAGACAAACACGCTTGAAAACGGGCATATAAAGGTCAACGTGGCCAGCGTGGTGGGCTCGGATGGATGATGCCTGACGTCTGATTCTGGCTCGTGATTGGTCAATAAAGCCTGTTGTGGTCCCATTCCTCTTCATACTAAGGCTTGGCTATTCAACATTGGTGGCAGGGAATGCGTTTGAATAACCCTGGTCGTTTCTCTTCTGTGGACAACAAAGGCAAAACCCTTCATTGCCGGCTGAAGTTGTCATGGCGGTTCATCCGATGGCCCATTCACTGGATCCACACCTATTGCCCGGGAATGGGACAACTGTATCGAAAGAGACATTGGCAACTCAGCGAAGATGACAAGGACAGCAGAAGCCAGCTGGACTGGAAGTGGAGAAGGAGCCTTCAATGGATGACATGACATTTCTGCAAGTCACGAATAGCAAAATCCCTCGTCTACCATTCACTTGGGCTACTGTCCTGCCAGATGTGGGATGCCGGGGGGCGTCGAACTGGATATTTTGTCAATCATCAATAGTGCATGGAGCCAAGCCAGAAGATGAGGACATGTTCAACTCTGGAGGGGAGGCAGTGTACTGTAGTGGAGTGACAGATTGCAGCCATATTGGTGTCAGTCCATTGGTCGAAGGTGAGAAGCATGCCATGGTGGCGACGTCTTGTGACCGGGGGTACGACTTCCGGCTGTGTGGCGTCACGCGGGCATTGAATGACGCGCCAGGGACTTAGAGCCAATCCACTCAGGAGTTTTCCTCCTTCATGGCAGCGCCGTGGAACGGACAACGGGAGAACAGGACAACCAGGACAAGGATATGTAGGGACCCTGTTTTCCCCCTTATTCCCGACCAGATTGTGACCAGAGTGTGGCGCATTTCAGCCTTCATTAAAAGACTCTATTTTGTCTTACTCTCTTTTTGACCAAACTATTTGCCCGAAGCGTACAACTGGTGTCAGCGGAATCGTCTCAAAGTCGGACACGGAGCCATTCAGTAGCCAAGTCGGATGAGAACGAGGCAATTTTCGGCCTCAACCGCCTAAATTCAATCTCGACGATGACATTGAGACGTGGGTCGAGACAATAGAGGCGTACTTGAAGTATGAAGAGCCTGTTAGTAGATCGCGCAAGCTCATGAGGGGCCTGGCCGCTTCTGCCAGGCGTATTGCGGCTATGACAGGCTGCTCTGCAGATACACCGTACGAAAAACTGCTGGATAAATTGTCCCAGTTGTTCGCGGAGAAGGCTGAACACAGTCAGCTGAAAATCTTACGTCGACGCTACCGGGCAGGGGAACGGAGCCTAATGGTAGCCATCGTTATCAACGGACTACCAGCTAAGATCAGCAAGCCGCACGCAGGACTTTTGCCTCAGTCAGTAGCATAGGTGGAGAGAGTTCTCTCGACGGACCACGACCCGGGGGATAACGCTCCGTTCTCCGCTTAAGATCAACTCCGTCAAGCCCAACAGTGTCGACCGAGGACAAACAGATCTCAAGGATCGCGATTTGGAGGACCCCAAGGACAATGGACGGGGAAACCTCGCAGCGGAAAAGGTTTTAAGAAGACTCCAGGTGCGTCAGTTCCATGCCTTGCCATTCATGCGTCATGTGCTGACACCCAACCCTTCATATCCATAGGTTTATGCAATGGATTAATGCACTTTCTAGTTGATACGGGTGCCGGATGCTCCATAGTCAATCCACGACGGTTCCCTGGGAAAACGTTTGAAACATACCAGGTGGAGTAGTCGATTAGTGTTACGGCCGCTAACGATACTCTGATGCGTAGTAAGGGGTGAGTTGATGTCTCACTCACTATCGTGGTTAGTCTGTGCCAGCATACTTTATATTTATGTCAGGACATGCCATACGATGGTATATTGGGGCCAGACTTCCTCGACAGGTACGAGGGCGAATACAGTCGGCCACAGCGGTGTTTACGCTTCGGGTCTTACGAAGTACCGGTAGTGTATGAACAGAGTAACGGGGTCATATCGGCGATCACGACTCAGGAGCTAGACCGATTGGTGAGCACACAAGCACACGGTGAGAAGCTCGATCCCACTCAGCTTCGCAAGCTGGTCCGAGAGTATGCAAATGTATTTGCGTGGGAAGGGCCAGACACTGGTCGAACAAATGTTACGCTCCATGACATTCACACGGCGGAGGCACGCTCTATTCGACAACGACTTTGACGGATACCTGTGGCGTATCGGCAGGCAGTTGAGGAATCCATTGCGTATATGTTACAGTGGAAAACCACCAAACCGTCGTCATCACCATGGGTATTACCTATAGTTGTCATCAAAAAGAAGGACGGTACCATTAGGCTGTGTGTGGACTATCGGAAACTCAGCGAAGTAAAAGTGAAAGATAGCTTTCCAATTCCGCGCATGGACGTCACGCTAGACGCCTTACGTAGGTCAACACCGTTCTCTACTTCGGATCTTAAGTCGGGTTACTAGCAAGTTGAGATCAACCCAACCCATCGAAAGAAGACGGCGTTCGCAATTCGGTCATGGTTATACGAATGCAAGACTATGCACTTGGGCCTAACTAATGTCCCAGCAACGTTTCAACGACTAACGAACACAGTCCTCCATGACCTAGTGCCGCAGGAATGCGTGGTTTACATGGACGACGTGATCGTCCACGCAAAGATATCAAGCAGCACATTAGGAGATTGCGTAATGTCTTTGAGCCACTTCGTGGGATGGGACTTAAGCTTAACCCGGAAAAATGCATGCTATTCAGGGAGTCGGTTAAGGTTTTGGCCATGTTGTCTCAAAGGAAGGCATCAGAACGGATCCGGATAAAACGGAGAAGGTTAGGACATGGCCGACACCCACCAATGTGGAACAGCTACGGAGTAGGTCTAGGGCTGGCAACGTACTACCGTAGGTTTTTCAAAGGGTTCGCCCATATTGAGCCACCATTGCACAAACGTATGGAGAAAGGACGATCCTGGGAATGGACGGATCCTTGTCAGCAGGCATTCTGCGACCTCAAAGCTTGTCTGGTCACGGCTCCATTACTTGCCTTTCCCAATGTGGGAAAGGGTCGCCCTCCATTCATTTTGGACACGGCGATTGGGGCGGTACCTTTGCAGGTCCAACCCGATGGCTCAGAATAGCCTAAAGCATCTGGCAGCCGCGCCTTGTCGAAGGCTGTGGGCAATTACTGCACTACTAAACGCGAAATGCTTGCCTTAAAGTTTTTCCTCAAGCACTATAAGCACTACCTTTTAGGCAATGAGATTGTGGTACATAAAGACCATCAGGCTCTGAGGTGGCTGCACAAATTTAAGGAACCTATAGGCATCATTGCGTGGTGGCTTGAGGTACTGAGCCAGTTCAACTATAGAGTTGAGGGTCGCCCTGGGAAAAAGCACGAGAATGCCGATGCACTGTCTAGGAGAATTGGGGCGCGGCACTAGCAGAAGACCCTTACATGAGCCTTATATACGATAGGCAGCGCATGGGCTCTCCCAAGCCTACAGACAAGGAGATGGCAGGAAGCGCATGTGCTTTGGTCTCCCTGGAATAATCTTAGTTTTAAGGATGGTATCCTAAACTATAAGGTTGCACCATCATACCCTTTGCGGGTAGTGGTACCAAGGTCCGCCGCAAAGCAAATCGTGAACGAACTACATGTCACTTTAGGCCACTTGGGACCAGCAAAAGCCGAACAAGATGCCCGTAGGCGATATTGGTGGCCGGCCATGCGCGAGGACATAAATGATATTTACACGAGTTGTCGCTGATGCGATGAGGTTAAGTCTCCATACAACCCATGAGAGCAGGGTTCCCAAACGAACTCGTTGGCTTAGACCTGATGGGGCCCCTACCTATGACGGCTAGTGGTAATCGTTGCATTTTAGTTTTGGCTGATTACTTTACTAAGTGGGCAAACGCTGTACCCCTCCGCAAGGCAGACGCTGTGTCTGTAGCAAAAGGATTTATGGAGGAATAGGTTGCTGATCAAGGGGTCCCCTACCAAAATTCATGCGGATAGAAGCAGCTAATTTGGAAGCATGTTGCTTTTGGAGTTGTGCGACCTGTTGGGTATTCACAGAAGCTGTGCTACGGCATATCACTCCCAGGGGAATGGGCAAGCTAAACGAACTAACAGGACGCTTAAGATTCTTTTAAGACTGCATCTCGATAAACACGCGCGGAATCAGTGGGACGACGCCTTGCCGGCATGCCTACTGGCGTATAGGTCGGCTGTCCACTTCCCCACTGGTCTAACTCCAGCAGCAATGACCGTCAGACATGAATTACGACGGCCGGCCGATATCGTGGTACCACCACCTCGAGAGACGGATTATGTAGGACCTTCCGAATACTTTGCTGGAGTACGACGCCAACTGCGTCGCTCTTTTGACTCAGTCAGGTCACAGCTAGCCTTAGCCCACAAGCGCCAGAAAAATTAATATGATAAACGGGCCCATGGTACCTCTGTCGAGGAAGGTGACCTAGTGTGGACGGCGACGACGAATGTAAGAGGCGAAGGCAGATTGCAACATTCGTGGGGAGGACCATATATGGTCGACACGGACCTTAGTGAAGCGACATGTGCAATTCGTAGCCTCGACGATAGTCCAAGTCAAGGGTTCACCGTTCACTTTAACAAGCTGAAACCCTACCTTCCGTGAGGGGAGGAAACTGATGACGAGCCCCTGATATACTGTGAACCACCCCCAGTAGATGACACGTTTAGGGTAGCTGCAGTATTAGCAGATAAGAAGCTGGGGACAGCTTCGGTCAGAGGGGGGGCATTGTAGTGGAGTGACAGATTGCAGACATTTTGGTGTTAGTCCATTGGTCGAAGGTGAGAAGCACTCCATGGTGGCGACGTCTTGTGACGGGGAGTACGACTTCCGGCTGTGTGGCGTACCGCGGGCATTGAATGACGCGCCAGGGACTGAAGGCCAATCCGTGGAACGGACAACGGCAGAATCGAACAACCAGGACAAGAATATATATAGACCCTGATTTACCCCTTAAAACCGACCAGATTGTGACCAGAGTGTGGCGTATTTCAGCTTTCATTAAAAGACTCCCTTTTGTCTTACTCTCTTCTTGACTATATCATGGGGCCGAGGCGTACAGTAGCGACGGATAAGGGCGCTGACATGTTGGATCACGGTGGTCTCAGCCAATTCTCTGTCCCTCTGCATTCCAGTGTTTTGAGAATAAGGTTGGCAGCCAACTAGAGACAGAGGTGTTTAGGGAAATGGTATATAATAAACGGTGTGCCCAGCGTGGTGGGCTCAGATGGACGGCGCCTTCCGTGTTGTTCTGGCTCGTGACTGGTCAACAAAGCCTGTTGTGATGTCCCAGTGTTCTTCATACCAGGGCTCGGGTATTCTACACATGTGCTCGTAACGTGATTAAACCAACGTAGTGGCCAGAAGACCTGTGTTTAAACGGTAAAACAATCGTCCGTTCTAAGTATTTGACGGATATTGGCAAGGTTTCTACTAGCGTGTTGCCATTAGACCATCAACTTCTGCAAAAGCTAGTCTTCTGCCAAAGAGGACGCTGCCATAAAAAAACTTTTGACTTCAAACAAAGTATAAGTGTGCCCGAAAACGTAGAACTACAGCCACACTTCATGGAGTATATTACAGTAGCATGTGAACTCTTAAGTTGTGTTTCGTTAGAGAGAAATTGCAATTTGATAGTATGCAGAAAGGTGTTCAATGGGTCGTGTTGAGGGTTAACGTGATATCAATGCCTCGATGTAGGCGTTCAAACTGTCGTTACTGAAGGTAAGACAGTTTCTAAAGTACTTGATTTGGTAAAGCTGCACTGTGAACTTAATTGGGTTCACTGTATGAATGGTTTTTTGAATAGTTAGAGGTTAGTCAAGTGTGTGACGTGCGTCGTTGGGTGAGGGCACGCAAGACTGGCCTGTGCTCTGTTCTTGTGTATCCTCATGTTACCGTCTCAAGTCGCACGAAAGGAACTGCGTGTTAAATTTGACCCCTTCAAAGGTCATCGTCGTCCTGGACTAGTCCCTGTGGTACCCCTACAGTTCCTTTTTTCTGCAACCTCTATTATGATCTTTATGAGTGAAAACATGGAGAATTCACCTGGGAATAGACTCTTTTGGTCACGCTACCATCTCTGCTTTGAACTTCGTCTACATCACTTCCTGATTGGCAAGGTAAACTCTCGGTTTAACTAGACAGGTTAATCCACTCCACCATCATCGATTTTGTCGGTGTGGACGAGTGCACCCAGGCGCGACGGTCTGCTCGCCAGACGTCTGATTTGGACGCAGTCACATCAAGTGGTTATTGGTGCATCCACACATGCACTTCGGACTGCCAAATAGGAGTTGGTCGTGTCTCATATAAATAAGCGACTTGACAAGGCCACACATTACAGGGCTTCTCCCACCTACGGAATGTAATTCTAGCTAGTTGATCTGCATGCGCCCACGTAAGTCCACTTTAGTTCGTGTTCACTATCAAAATGCACTGTGTTTCACCTGAACGTCGGGTATGTAATTATGTGGTAATGGGTACCCGTAAATCAAAAATCATCAAATTATAAAAGACGTCGGATAACCGGCCCGTTAGCACCATTGGCAATCATGCGTTGTCAGTAATTTTAACCTATAAGATATCGTTGATCCTTCGTTTGTCCTTCCGTGATGGTAAATCCGCGTCCCACGCTTCGTCATCTGTCCAGAGTATTCGAAGCAAAAGCAGATCGTAGTGATGCTCAGCCGTTTAACCGGTCTCTTCATTCCCAGACATTTAAAACATTTGATTTTTCACTTTTAATTCGTAATATAGTGCTTTAGGTGAGAATCTAGTTAAGGTAGCTGTACCAGGAAGACGCGGTCGGCGCAGGATTGTCCTTATGAACAAAGTACTCTAATAAATGATTAGTCCTGCAGCATCTAGTGTTCAAAATAGCTTCAAATTTGTCACTGGAAAACATGTCAACACAACTGTAAGATCTGTGCCAGAAAATAACTACAACAGATGCTGAGTAACGTTTCTGTGTCAAGTCACGGACAGTCTCAAAATCGGAGGATGAAATGATCTTGAATTGTCGTCACATTTCAAATCGCTGTAAAGAATGAGTTAGAGATATCTGTAATAATCGTTGTCAGAAATGTAATTATTAGGGAATACTCCTTCATTTCCTTATTTATATTCTTGTTACATCTAGGCATCTTTATTCCATCGCTGTGCAGATTTCACAGATAGCCTGCCTCCCACTTTGAAATCCGTTCTGAGGAGAGGGATCGCTGAACACTTGCAGGACAAACCAGCATAAACGATGAAGCTTCCAAGCTTCTCCTTTCCAAAAATACAAAAAAATGTAGATGAACAATGACAGATTCCGATTTTTCCATTTGCAAATTATGTTTTATAACCTTGCTTGGTAATGACCTTTTCCTGGCACCTGTACGCATTCTTTTTAGTCAATATGTCATGCACGTTTTACGTACGCGTTATGACCGCTTGATAAAACTTAAAAAATGAGCCTTACTCGAGTATCAGCAGTTGTTAGATATGGTAAATCAGTTATAGCTGCACTGGTAAAGTTGGCTGGACGTTTGAGGGTTCGTGAACAGACTAATTCCAGAAATCCACCATACTTATGAGAAGTGAGTAAAAAGTGCCTAGCTAAGGTACACAGTGTGGCTCGTGCCAAGCAAACTTACCTTAACAAATTAAAAAGTCAACACACTTTGTGGTTGTTAAGATGCAATTTTCCCTTGACGATTAAGCAATTTAAAAAGAGGGTTAATGACATCGCGCTATGGGTGTCAATAAACAGATAATGAAGTTGTGCTGCAGCTGTTAATTCCCTAACTACACTGAAGAAATTGCCATTACACGTTTAAGGTGTACAATTTAATCAGAGAGAGGCCGTTAGGTAACCACGCAGATTGGTTGGCTGGTCTCGAGATACCGACAAGGCAAATCAAAACCTGAACTGATCGATCTGCAGGGTTCTGGTCCTCAGAGTAATTGTTGTCATGACCACTCTAATCCCAGATACCGGCAAGCATCTCCCAACATGCGACAAGTTCCACCTGCTTTTGAAATGAAACCTTGATTTTATGAAGTTGAGTTTGAAACATGCCTACCACATTGATGTCCATTTTCTAACTGCTTAACCTACGAACAGTTGTCTGTATTTGGTGCTGTCAAACAGGCCATGTAGCAACCGATACACAAGTTAGTAGTAATAAACAAGAGGGTAGACCAATTCGTGATTCAGAGCATGATAGGTAGGTCAAGTGTGTGTTTACTAATTGCTAAGGATTTATCTCATGAAGTAAGCACTTTCGGCAAAAGTATATCTCAGAGGCAATTAGCAACTCCACAATCAACCAATAGTGATGTTTACACCCGAGGACCCGTGTATGCAGTCTTGAAAGCACTTGTGAAGTCGGTTTGCATGAGCGTTTTTTAAAACGAAAAATAGACAAAGGGTACTGGAAGTAAAAAGGACGGAGAGCCCCATGACTACCCAGTACTTCATTTTATCACGCTTTCTGATTAAACAGCAAAATTCCATGGTTTGGAAATTGATATGATCCGCGTTTAAGGCCTAAAAAACGAGTCCTCATATATCATAAGCAGCTGCTTTTTGTAGAGCTTTCTTTTCAATTTTGATCCACAATTTACCTCGTCAAAGAAATTTAAATGCTGTTAACTGTAGGTCTTTCTCGTGAAGATAATTCCCAATCTAGATTTCCTAGCTCAATTTTACGGTAGTCATTCACAATTCCAAAGTAACATGTTGTGGCCTTATATGTTCATGATTATTGTTCCTGCATAAAAATCATTCAGATTGTATTGTTGAGACGCCATATACCGCTAGCTAATCAACGAGAATGAACTCTGTGGAGGGACGGAGAGTCAACTGTCTATTCGAGAACTTGACGCAGCTGTGGTCGTATATGGGGTTTGTGCGTGCGTATTTATAACTCGGACGTATTACTCATAACTGCGCTAACATCGAGACCTAGGCGTGAGGATAATCTAAGATAAATATTCGTATAAATGAAAGAGGAGTTGAGGGATCGCGGGGCTGGCACCATGCTTCGACAAAGGGGAACCCTGTGTCGGAGGTGGAGCAACCGGATTAAGGGGTTGAATAAACACGAGTCACAGCAGCATTTATCACATTCATGAGAAGTGTGCTACACGTCCCAACAAGCATGAAAATGCTGCTATTCCCATATGAAACCCTTTGCATAAGATAGTTACGTCAGATTTCTCGATTTCTTGCAGTCCATTGCAGTCAGTTTTGTAGCATATTTTACAACCCAGAGACGCCGGAACTTAGTTTGCCTTCCTCAGGAAAAAAATCGCCTGTTCGAGGAGACGCAGACCCATTTGAGAATATCTCCTCTGTTACCATTCCGGTAGCATCCTTTCCTTGACCGTGCAAGCCTGCCGACCCACTGTTAATGAAGGAAGTTCAACTAGTCTAGCACATTGTATACAAAGCATTTTTCTGATGCCTGATTCCATAGACGTGCTTCGTGAATAGACAAGGGGAACTGAAAGGAAAACTACGGACAGCCTTTAAACACGTCGGAATTCATTTTGTCACGCCTTCTGATTAAACAACAAAATTCTACGCTTTGAAGTTGGACATGATCAGTGTTTGGGCCTGAAAAATGAGCCCCTCAAATATTCCTAGCAGCTGATGGTTTTGGGGTTTTCATTTCAATCTTGATGAACAAATTACAGTAAGGCTGTGGAAATAGAGAGCATGGCAATTCAAACAACTGGAGCTACGTCTTTAAAGACAGCAACAGGTGAAAATACGACTGGTCAAAAGGTTTCGGCCTCAGTGTATGCTTAGGCGTATTGAATGCAGCTTAAACTCAGTCAGAATGCAACGGTTACCTTGTTTTTAATTGGCTACACTAAATATACCGTCTGTCGAATTCCTGTTTTGTTACAACGCATCGATTTCTGTGGTCGCTAATGGTGAAGAGCAAGGTT